GCCAAACTCAATACATGCATATTCAGAAGCCTATGCTGCAGATCCGCGAAAAGGGGGCGAAGCTTGAGCGGAAAAATATTCTAAGCTTGAGAAAACATGGTGTCTGTGGGCACAAAGGATGCCGGGCGCCGGGCATCCCATACTGACGGTCACCAATAGGCTCCCTTTCATGCCCCTGCAAGATCAGGTGAGTCCACAGCCTAGGGTAAGATGACAGGATTTGTATTACTTGGGCGTTTCATGTTCTGCTGCTGCGAGTTGTTGCAAGATTTGGTCGATGCTCATCTGATACTATTGTGCTTTAGCTTTACCGTCAATGCCTTAAGCTTGCACAACTGCAGTCAGTAGAACCCGGGCTGCTATACCGGGAAGACTGCCACTCAGCTTGAACACAAGGGCCATGGACTTAGGGTGAGCACGAAATGGCTGCGGTGCTGTTTAGAGTATACTCCTCAAGTCTGCGAGATGAGAGAGTCCGGTGGCTTCCCAGGTTTCCGCTGGCCTCGGGAAAGGGGCCACCGTGATCCATCGCAGCGAGTGCATAGCCCAAGGGATGCTCCTGGCTATCAAGTCACGAGAGTTTCATAAGGCTACTGCGAGGCCCCTCCCTCGACACAGATGTATGTTGGAGGGACCATGGTAGTCCCAAGAGACTTCCCTAGGTCACCTTGGTCCACACCCCAGATGTTCTGCTGTGAAATTCAAACAACAAAGTTGTTTGCAGCTTGCGCAAACATGAAGAACAGCCTACGAACAACTGCCTAACCTTCACTCCGGAACGCCGTCTAGCATCCTGGACTGTTCCCTGGCGCAGTCAAAAGGAGCATCATGTCATGAACCCAAACCCAACCCCGTGGAGAATATCTGGAGAGTATGGGTCTCATTTGAGGGGCCTCCTAATTCAAGGTGTGAGGTTTTTGGGGAGACTCCAGTTTCAAGCAACGATGACCGGCACTGAAACCATAAACGTAGCTCCTTACCATGAGACCCTCGGCTCCTCGTAGATCAGCAAAGAGGCAAGTCCTCAAGCAGGTGAAACGGTAGAAAGACAAACACCTCCTTCAGGCTTTATCAAACACCCCTCCCCCACCCGCGAAACTAGTTCCTCCCCAATATATATATATACATATATACATATATTATATATGTATATACGCTCTTGCAGAAGAGTTTAGGTGCTTGGTCTTTACGTACGAAACTCCGGTACCATCAATCATCCGAGTGGTCATCATGCTAGAGTTGCCTTGAAGCACCGACAGTACCCAACTTTTGAGACTTGGCCCTTGGCTCAAGGGGCGCCCTGGGCGCAGCGCCACTCGAAAGACTGAGCTCGCCTGCCCCAAGAAGAAACTAGGGTCAGGAGCGCAGGAAAAATGCTTCCCTCGTTGAGGTTTTGTGGAAAAACAGAAAGTTTGTTGCAGATTGGGGGAGCCTACCACTACCGCAAGCTCCTACTATTGCAACTGTGCCAACTTCTACTGCGGCATCTGCTACTCCTACTGCGACGCCAACTCCTACTGTCAGAAATATGTATTAGTGCGATAAAAAAGCAACAATCATACTAATTGCTGCTATCAAGTACTGCTGCTGCTGTTGCTGCTACTACTCTAACACCACCACTACTACTACTACTCCTCCTCCTCCTCCTACTACTACTACTGCTGCTACTACTACTACTACTACCACCCCTCCTCCTCCTCCGCCTCCTCCTCCTCCCACTCCTACTCTTGCTCCTGCTCCTGCTCCTACTCCTCCTCCTTCTACTACGAGTCCTCGTTGTTGTGCTAGCAGTAGTACTACTACTACTACTAAAACGACACCACCACCACCGCCGCCGCCGCCGCTGCCGCCGCCACCACCACCACCACCACAATGCTGGCCCAGACCACCACCGTCATCAGCGGATTTGCTGTTGTGGTTCAATCATTGTGCCTTCGACGCACTACCACCAAAACAGCTACTGCAACTATTGCCAGCCACTGCTGCTGACTACCCATTGCCCCCGATTACCGACAGGTACCGGTGACAAACTCGAGAAAAAAATGACCTGTTTTCAGACCAGTGGATAGCTGCAACACCTCCGATTACAATTGGAGCTGCCAAATTGAGGAAGCCTCGGGAATTCGATTCAACAACATGACCCGTGCCTAGGGACGATGCGAGGACCAATTCTGATTGGGCATGGCTCAAAACAATAGATCCCAGACTCTCAATTATTGAAAACTTGGCTGCTTCAAGACAATGTCAGCGGGAACTCGACAGCCTCCACCAGGGAATGGGCAAAGTAGCCCCGCACAGGTTCCTGCAGAAATACATCATGCCAGACCCTTCTGCAACAGCAATTCTCATGAGCATCTTCCAATGCAAAATATGTTCTGATAAGGATTAAGACCGACATAATCCGAGGAAGGACACTCATCATCATATCTTCACCCAATGCTCCGCTGTAGCTTCATACTCTGACGCAGAAAAGGTTATCCTGGTCTTCAGCTGGCTGTGGGTGTTGCGAAGAGCACATCTGTGTCTCCACTCTCTTCACTATAGGCCCTACACCAAAACAGATGTATCAATAGCTGTCAAGAGTTAAGATCATGGGCTGCTTTTGGGGAGCCCTTGCAGGTCTTCTCTTCATATTGAACCCCTTGAAACCTTGGCAACCACGCGCATCTGGCAGGGCCTCGTCATCATAGGAGGAGAGCCAGTTCTTCCTCAAGTTGCAACCTGGCTGAGAATGCCCATGGGTCTGGCCTACTCGGTCTGATTGCTGCGGGGCTGTGGAAGCGGAAGTGGACACTTCTAGTCCGCACCGCCCCGGGATCTTAAGCTGAGAGTGGAAGGCTAGTCACTGTCTGAGACTCAAACTGACTAGCACATGTCATGGCACAAGCTGGCCATATGCATTCTTTGGGGTTTGGGTGAAGATCTTGTTCCAAGAAAAGTTTGAGAAGCGCTCACAATACTGGGGCTGCGAGGCCCTCAGAAAATTGCAAGCAATCAAATCAAAGATCCTCCTCCGTGAATTCTCAAGACCGCAAGTGCCCCGTGTACTTGTAGCACTGGGGCTGTGATTGCACGCTTGACGGCCCCTTTCCGGGCATGTGCCAGAGAACAAGCTTCGATCATTGCACATCATTCCCAGACATTGAGGTCAGCCCTTGCTGACATCTACAACCCCCAGTCAAAATACTTCCTCTGGGCTGATGTGCCCCGCAATGTCTGGGCGGGCGGACAGAGCGCAGCCAAAACGGAGCAAAGGGCCTGCGCGACGGCTCACACAGTAGCTTAGCATTGATGCAAAGCGGTCAATACGTGCAGATGAGCATTCATCTGGGCTAGCAAAGTAGCAAAGTAAGCATTTGCTTGCCGTTGACTGGAAACATGCAGCCCAAAAAGCCTTAAGGCTAGACCGAAAGGATTTCGAAGGCGCTACTCGAATGTTTCATGGGCTGTGTAACTATCAGCAGGGTTATAACGGACAAGATAAATGAAGCTAACTACAAACTCAATTAGGATGCACCGTTGTACCTGTGGTCAAATTATGGCCATACTTAGTTAACCGTCCGTCTCGGACACTCAGCGATCACTGCGTTTTAAATGATCCAGAAACTGCTGAAACACAGCAAGCCCTACCCCTTTCCTACAACGGAGAAGTTGAAAGCAGAAGATGGTGGTGCGTATTGTTCATCATTTCCAAGACCTGAATGGGCGACAATAGGAGAAGCCAAACCACAGCGAGCTACAGAACGACCTAGACGATGTAGTTAAGCTTTTGGATTGTTAAGGATGCTATAGATGTTACACCAAGCTCAGGTTTTAGAATGTGCTCCGGTTGCAGAGGGTTGAGATTTGACCGTTCAGAGACTCTGTCTGTGACCCTTTCGGATTTCAATCTTACATCACAACTCCATAACTCACAGCGGAAAGATGAGAGATCAACAAGGGCCCCGAATAGGCGCAGCGGTACATCAAGACTTTATGTAGGGCCATGTAGGCGGTACTAGCTGAAAGCCTCGTAAGGGCCCTTCAGTTTTCAACTGGCACAAGCCCTGAGAGAAGTGACATGTCTCATGTTGGTTTCAAAATGCATGCTTTGGAGTTGTCACTGTATGATAACGATTGATAACGTCAAAGGCGGTCATGAATTTTACCTTCTGGCCTCAAAGCCTGAAGGGCACATAGTTCAAGCTGTGAAGCGTACATTTGGGTTGTAGACTTCACCCTATGGTTGTAAAAAGTTTTGCCCTCCCTACCCTTACCCCCACCCAACCCCGCCCTCTCAGCCCCTGGAGCTGCCTCCCGCACTTTGCCCCGACCTCTGCGCACGCTTGCCAGGCGGACCTGGGGGGTTTCTCAATGTTGGGTGGGTAGCCTCCAAAGATCCCATGCATATTTTGGGTTTAGGGTTTAGGGTTTGGGAATTCCAGTAGGAGGAGTCCTGCTTGAGGATGAATTATCTATAACTTTGAAGAACTCGCCCATGATTGTGTTCTGGCTTTCCGGCTCTAGATTCAAGCTGGCGGCCCGGGAGTTATCAAGGCTCTTCCCTGAAAGCCAAGCCTTCAAAATCAAGAGGCCGAAGATTTACTACAACCCCCTTCTCAAAACCTGATCCACATGTGCCAGAACATGACCCTGGCGGAAGGTTAGCATCGTAAGCATGGTCTTATGTTCTTGCCGGAACGAATGAAAAACTTACTGGAGGTCAGTAGGGAATAAGGGAATATGATCCCTATATAACCCCTATATATTGTATATTATTTTCCCCTATTCCCGACGAATCCCCGGTGAGCAAAGACGACCTGCCCAAGCCCTGCGAACCGCGGCGAGGCGCAGAAAGGCTCCTCCTCCGGTCCGCAGGTTCGCCCCTGAGGGCCAGTGGTGTTGCAAAGATTCAACTGCCGTAGCTTCTGTCTCCCAGCTTGGTTTAGTGTTAATTGATTGTTGGTTGGGTTTCAGGGTGGATGTTTGGGATGTTCAGCTCAACATGGAGCATCGGTGACCATCCCAGGCCTGAAGATGAGGACATCGTAGTTCGCAATCGACTTGCCGCCACTCTCACGCGCACGGCTGGCAACGGATCTGCGCAAGACACTCGGAAGCTGAGCGGTCGGCTTTGGCTCGACAAGCTGAATTCTGGCCCTTGAATCAGCAGGAACTACAGCCACTCTCTATGTGGATCCCTGCATCCCAGAAGAATTGACAGTGATTCTAGCTTGAGGGTGCACAGTTAAAGTGAGCTCGGTGCAGGTCACGCGTGTAAGATTTAATCTGAATTCACTAGGTCACTAGGTTTGCTAGACAGCTACAGGATAAGGAAATGTAGCTGCTCAGATGATGAAAAATCCGCAGCGAACATATAGCATCCGTATCTTGAGATCTGTCTGGAGCGCTGAATGACATCCGTTCCGTGTGGGCAGTTTTACAACAAAAGTCTATACAGGGAGCCCAAAAGTCCTAGCGAAATGAAGACTTGGCGCCTGAGGAGCTCGATTGCAATCTGGTGCAGCTCTGGATACCTTGCTCAGAATCCCAAAATTAGGGTACCTTTTTGGGGGTCCCCATAATAAGGACTATAGCATTTTAGGGTCTATATTGGGGTCCCCCTATTTTATGCATGCACCCTGCCATTCTACCACGGCTACCCCTACGCAATGTCATGTCCATCGTGACCTGGCGCCTTATTCTATAAACTGAAGACCTGTTGACCACTACATCGGCGTACCGAAAGCTTCAAATCACTGATGTACTAAGATCTTGCATAGTAGTGGAGAGGCCCCACATGCCGCTTTTCGTGGCCATGCTGGCGGAGTAAACAATATGCTGCTTTACAAATCTAATCCTTGCAGTTCCACCGGAGGCCCCAAGGCTCAGTGCTAGGAATCTGCCGGGAAGAGGGGGTGTTCTTGTGGTGTGTAGTTGGACAAGTTGCGTGACCTACTTTGTGACAGAGAGTCAAACTTTTGGCACTTGATTTACGCAGCCAACCTGCATGCCTTGGTACTAAGACAGCGCAAACAGGCCCCAATCATAGCACAGCAATCATGAGGAGTAACTTTCACGTAGCTCTGTTCAACGTGGAATGCATCAACTTGAAAACTTGAAAGCCGCGCGGCTGGGCGGACGCAGCTTCTGCAACCATGGACATGGCTGTCTTCAGGTCCTCCCATGCTGGGTTGCGGTCTTGCATGCCAGGTTTGGCTTCACAAGCCTCCAAGGGTCAAGGTGTGCATCATAGTCACAAGGTTTCCAGAAACGTGCAGTGCAGCTAGGGATGAACGCTTGTCCGGGAGCAGTTTCTGCGCAGCTTCTGCACGCTTTGGTACGTCTCCGGTCTCGGAATTCAAGAGAATTCAAGAGCAAGACTTGGAATAGAAACTGAATGTGCCGACTTGCCTCCAATCCCTTGCAATTCGGATACTTCTGCATCATGCAGAAAAATGCCAGCAATGCGACACACAAAAAAAGGCCGCGGCTTTCTTCAAAGAATGGAGCTATGCAACTACGCGATAGAAAGCTTACCACATTACTCCCGCATTCTCCCTAAATTCTGTTCGCCAAAGCCTCACATCGGAAAAACTTTGTCCATGGTCTATATCATCATTCCCCTAACTCCGACCCCTATGGAAGGCCTCAAGATTTTGGAAAATCCCCAAGTGAGTGGTGTTTTTTGGTGGTTGAACCAAGTAAGATAATATTCCTTATATAAAATACTATACCCCAAAAGGAGGATATAATCTTAGTCTGTATTGGGTACCATAGTATCCCCCAATAAAATACTGCTCAAATAGCCAGTTGCACTTCCAGGCCTCAGTCTCCAGCGCCTTCACGTAGGTCCGGCGCCTGAAGAGCCAATCTTTGAGCAAGAGAGCTCAGGGCTTTGGATTTAGGGTTCAGAGTTTAGATCTTCCTTCCTTGTTCGGTTAATGTGTGCATCTCAAAGAAAAGGGTTCAGGCAATTGAGCTCCACTTACTCCCATCTAGAATCTAGAGGCAAAAATTTCAGGAGGGAACTTGCAATGAAGGAGTGTCTGGCTCAAGGGGTCATAGAGTATGCAAGGTGCTGCGCTCCTCGCCGCGCTAACTCACCCTTGAAGATTCACAGGAGAAACAACTGAGAGTTCTTGGGTCACAATATGGATGTGGTACACTTTCAGGTGGGTGCAAGGACTTCGAACACCAAGAGATCGCATCCCGACAGTGGCCCATAGAACAAGTGGCGTAAGCATCTGACAAACTAGAAAAGGGTGGTGCACGTTCTTATTCAAAAAGATGAAAGAAATGAGGATCACCAAAAACCTTTCGAAATTTTTGGTATCATCTCTATAGAAATCCTTTGGGATCCCGCGTAGCCTATAAACCCAGAAAAACCATGATTCCGAGAAAGTCCTGTGAGATCCAGAAAAGCCCCACATGTGTGTGGATAGCTGGCATTTTCCAAGAATGGGTGGACTCCAAAATGGACCGTATATACCAAAACACTTGCATTGATGGGGAACCAAGAAACGGATCCCTAATCTTTGCAAACTATCGTGTGTACATATATGCATCTTTGTGTAAATACTGCTGCCCCCATCTCTCTGCACTAGGCACTGGCCTGTACATGTGCAAAACGGCCCCTTATTCTGACCCTGCATAAGGTGTCTCGACAGGATGATATAAATGTTCTGTCTAGGGGGCACGGTAATACCTCCAATGCAATACTACTCAAATTCTTCAAAGCTACAGCGACTCGTAGAGACGGAGGCCAGCAATCGCTGGCGACAGCCGGGTGCGAGGTCGCGGAAGCTTGCCAGCCTCTTTTCCAGCTTGGGATACAGCTGTCGAGTTGTGGGTCTGGGGTCTGAGGTATGTAAGTGCTGTAGGTTTTCATAGTTTAAGATTCTAGGGTTGGAATTCAGTTTGCTTCGGCTGGACTAGTGACAAATTTTGACTGTTGCGTGCGGCTGCTCGGTCTCTTGCTTGTGCCTCCTTTTGAATCGTCTGGGCAAATGATGAAGGAGACATTGCAGACGACGTCTCACCATGAACCATTGCACATATCATATATTCACGATCACAATCTAGACCAATAAAACCCTAAATCCCAAGAAGAAGGAGAAGAAGATGATGAAGAAGAAACTGAACTAGTCGTAGCCGCAGCCTGCCCTCATCGTCGTTGAGATCATCTCTCTGGCGATTATGATCATGCTTAGGTTCAGGGTCACCCCTGTGACAACTCTCGGCATCAGATTTGCAAACCGGTGCACCGATAACATGAATATGCCTTGAAGTGTTGTCATCACCAGAATCACAACTCTTAACCCTTGCCCCTGAACTCTGAACCCCTAAGCTCGAAACTGCAAATCCAAACCGTTCCCATGAGCCTGCGGAGTGGCAGGAGCCCTAAGCGGCCGCTTCTCGCCGCGCGAGGCCATGACTTTGCCGGCCGACATGGAGAGCGAGGAAGAAGCGGAAGAAGCGGCCACCAAGGGGCAGAATACTTATAGCAAGGATGACAGCCACGAAAACGTCGTACAATCATGATACTCATAGAGAAATGATACTTGAAGTACGGCTACCAGTAAGCAGGATGCCAGTCGTACTAAGGACTAACTGGGCCACAACGCCCTCGGAGCCAGATATGAACAGACCTGGTGCATCACATCTTGCGGATAAATGGCCTTTTCATGGTGAACAGTACTGTACTGGCGTAGAATGAAGAGTCTAGAAAACATGAGAGGTGAAAGCGGAAACAACCTGCGCTCCCTGGCTTAGACGGTCTTCGTCCTCTCTCTGAACCCTGAACACCTACATCCCCCTGCCCAGCAAGCCCTCGCCGCTGAGGAGACGAAAGACAGGCAAGGAGCCAAGACAAAGCTCTAGCAAAAGCCCAAGCATTCACAAACAACACCATCCAGAAACGCAGCACAGGTGCCTGCATGAAGGTCGTCTTTTCCCGCCGCCAACAGCCACCACCACCACCACCACCACCACCACCACCACCACCACCACCACCACCACCACCACCCTCAAAAGAATGGTCTGACTTTTGGGTCCCTAATATAATACGGACCCTACTATTTAGGACACCTAACGAAGAACCTTACTTTTTGACATACATGTTTCTATACAAACATATCTTGAGACGTATGCACGTATATACCTCTATGTCTCTATATCTCTCTCCCCCTACACACCCCGTTTTAGCTCTATAGAATATATATAACCTGAAAAGGCCATTTTTTACCCCACCACCAACACATTCAGCCAGTTACCTGCTTCCCTGCTATGCCTGTGACAGCCGGTCCCAGTCCATCTCGCCGAGCCTGTCCCGATTCCTGGCCAAAGGCGTTGTTTAGGGTTTAGGGTTTAGTTTAGGGCTTAGGGCTTAAGACGCAACATCGGAGTTTTCCCAAAATTAGGAGGTCCCTTTAAAGGGCACATAGGGTTTATGTAGAGTTATATGGGGTTGTGTCCTGAAATTAGGGGTATCTTGTTGGGGGTCCCATAGTAAGGACTATAGAATTTTGGGTGTCTATATTGGGGACTCTCAGCTTATGGAAACTACCATATGGTAACAGTAGGAACAACAACAGCTATACGAAAACTGATGAGGAGAGACAACAAGGACTAAAAAATACAACAAGCAGTTAAGGCTTCCGTGACACCGCGGGGGGCGCGAGACCTTGCAGTATTCAATGCAGCCTCACGGACATTCTGGAGCTGATTTTTGCAGAGAGGGGACCACTCCAAACTCCTGAAAAGGGCCTGCATGGGGGACTATATAGGGTTTAGGGTGTAGAAACCTGGGCTAGGAGGCTCCTTCCGTTGCAGGCAGGTCATGCTTTTCCGTCAACTTCCTACACAGGCACAGAAATATGTTCTCAAAGCTAGTATGGATGTCTTTGACAGGCAGTGGGTGATTCTCTTGGCAACCACGGAAGGTCCTAGAGCCCAAATCTGTGTTTGAGCTCTCCACCGAATCCAAACTGCCAACTACAGTAAACCGAGACAAAGACAGTCCAGTTCGTTTGAATTCTCTAAGAAATCCAGCTCTGCTGCCTGAACTAATTAGTTGTCCCGCCTGTAGATAATTGACCAGCAGCCTTGTCAGCAAACTCCCAAATTGATTCCCGAATCACTCCGTCCCGCTCAATCTAATCTCCTTAGCAGGAACTCCACACGGCTGTCGTCCTCAGAGTGTTGGAAGACATGAAGGGGCGTTGGCATGGGCTAGGGTTGCTCTAAAAACTAAGCCTGTACTAGCACTCCATCCACACAGCCTTTGCAGATTTCAAGATTTTTGGTGTGCCTCAGTCTTGAAGCTTGAGCTATTCCGAAATCACACAGGTGGCATTCATAAAAACAACAAAATTATTTGACTCAAGTCTAAATTGCAGCTGAATCTTATGATCCTAGAAGCCATCCAAGCATGCAACTCTCCTCATGCTACTAGCTCGACGGAACCCCGCTCGAAAATGAAAAGCCTCCTAAGTTTTTGAAGCCTGACCTTGATCGGCTCAAAACCCTGCATGCATCTGCAGGCGCTCGTGACATGACGGAAACGCACCCAGAAACATGATTTCAGATAAAGGCGGGTGGACAAGCCCCGAGGATAGGTTGAGCACGAAAAAACTGACAAGTCCTTCCGTGCTTCCTCAGCCAAAACTGCACTGCCACCAAAAAAATCCTTTGGAACTCCTCATATACCCTATATAACATACTATAGTCCCTGGATAACCCCTATTATAATATAGTAGCTTCCATTCTCCTTCCATTATCCCTATATAACCCCTAAGCCCTTCCTACTTTGGAGAATCCACACTCTGAGGCTGACGCATGGCAGCGGCCCCCAAGCCCACCCCGTAGCCGTGCCCGCAGGGCATGGCGAAGTTCCGCATCCCAGAAGCTCCTCCAAGAACTTATAGTCTCCCTTAAGTAGATAGAACATGGCTTTGGGTAAGATATAATAAGATCCCCATAAATCCCATATTCTATCTACTTAAGGGGGACTATAGGGATAATGGAAAAGTAAATGGAAACTACAACAATAGAGTTACATAGTGGGTTTTTGGGTTTAGAAAGAATGGAAAAGTAAATGGAAACTACAATAATGGAGTTACATAGTGGGTGTTGGGTTTTAGAAGGAATGGAAAAGTAAAT